TCTACAGATCAAAATTATACCTAATTATCAGAGCAAATTGTCTCATGTGGTTTTGTGCTATTTTCAAAAACATTAGCAAAAACAAACTTGCACCATTCTGGCCTTCAGTTCAGATAGCAAAAAGTAGTTACACACGTTTACATCCATATGGTAAAACTACTCCTGTGCCCAATCCTGTAAACAATCACAGACATGAAAAGACTGGTTAACCTAGAAAAAGCGTGAACAAAGCTCCATCTTTACAACTCTCTCCAACAGATAAGCCATAATACATAGTGATAAACTACAAATACCTGACTTACTGCCTCCTCCCTTTCATAATGGCAGAAAAAGACATCTAACAATTGCCTAATAAGTTGCACATTCAATAAGTAACAGTAAACTCTTTAACTCATTTTGACAGTTTCCTACTATGTTTTCCCCATGTACTGCAAGAAGCTGTGGGGAAAAAAGATGAAGCCAACTCCCAATTACCACTGTCAAAGCTGGTGAAACAAGTCAGTCACCATCCTGCAGGGTATGCGGCATGCAAGGGCATGGAAAAGAAAACAATAGGAGAGCCCTCAGCAAAAAAAAAAAAAGCACCCACATTTTAACAAAAAGAAAATGAAACTAACTGAACATCTACATCAAGGAAGCTGAAGGTGTAGTGAGCCTAAGTAAAAGGGAGAGATCTACGCGCTATTCAGATTTTCTAGCTAGTGGCCGTTGAACGATGTACCAGCTGTCATATTCTGAAGTTCTGCAGTTTTCCCCTTTTCCCTACAAAACCCTCTCTACTCTAAAGCCCGTAAGTAACAGAGGAAATCGAACAGAGGATGAAGAGAAATGGCCGATGGGACATCAGATCACAAGAGTAACTGCAACCTCATTTCGAGAAGACCAAACGGCCCCGTTATCAAAGTAAAGCTCTAAAAATCTCTATCAGACACCCTTCGCATCTACATAGATCTCCGTCTGCGTCTCTTATCCATAAATCTTTTCAAACCAGACCTCACGCCTATCCCTCGGGCCTGCCTATCCAAAACTCAACCAATCTATACCATGACTCGTGAAAGGCAGATTGAAGGGAGGTGGAAAGGGCTGGAAGGAATGTCATGGGAGAGGGGGCACGTGCGAATAACATTGCGGCAGAGACACTAAAAATGCCACTTCCTTTGCCACTCTTGCCATTCTCTTCGTGTATCATCCTCTTACCCTCTCTACCCATGCCACCTCCTACCTCAACGATACACACACGTGTCACAGCCGACCAGCACCATCGCCTTTTCCAGGATCACAGGCTCCCCTGCCACTCCTCACTATCCCCCCACATAGGCGCGCGCGCGCACACACACATATACACACACACACACACACACGCACACACACACTTAGAGCAGAAACTGCAGCCACCGCACCCTCCTATCTCGATGAGCGCTCCTACCAGCCGACATCCAGAGCGGGTTGAAAGCTCAGTAAATGCGCAGGTACACACACGCACGCACACACACACGCGGGTGCACGCGCGGCATGGGGAGCAAGGAAGGGCACCCTGGGGACGCACCTGGAGGCTGGGTGTCCAGCGCTGCCGCCCCCCTGGTCCCTGTCATTGAGCGCAGCTGTATAAATCCTCCGGTAGCGGTCGGCCAGGGCCCGGCCTGACAGCAGCAGCTGGTAGTGACCCCGGGAGTCCGCGGCGGGTAGCCCCAACCCCAGCCCTGCAGCAGCCACGGAGCCGTCGGGAACCGGCATGAACAGCGCCCCCGGCGCCGGGGAGGAAGAGAAGGTGGCGGCTGGGTAGAATCCGTCCCCGCCGAGCCCCGAGGAGGCGGCGGCGGGGGAGGCAGTCGCTGCGCACATCATCATCCTCGCCGCCGCCGCCGCCGCCGCCGCCGCCTCGTCCCCGCGGGCCGGGCGGGCAGACACGCGCGCGCACACACAGCCCTTTTCCAACGACGACGGCTCCGGCGGCGGCCTCTGGCTCCCGCAGCAGGGAGACTACAAAGACAGCGACCTTCTTCTCCTCCTCCTTCTTCTCCTCCTCCCCCCCGCGCCGCCCTCGCCGCTACTGGGGCCGCTCATCTAACCCCGCCACCCCGGGAGTGTGAGCAGGAGGCGGTGCCGCCACTGCCGCCGCCACCACCGCTACCACCGCCGGGGCTACCCGCAATGGGAAGCTGCCGGCCTCACAGAGCATGCGCCACTCCTCGCACATGCTCAGTAACTGCAGCCCCTTTTCCTCCCCACCCCCTCTCCGCCACCACTCCCTCCGCCTCGGGGCTTTGGGTTTGGGGCGGTTGGGTGGTGCGGAATCCGAAGTAATCCACTTCTCCGGGTTTTACTGGCAGCTTGAGGAAGAGTAAGGAAAGTGCCGGGGAGGCTGTCAGCTGCTGGCGTCTGACTTCAGGTTCCCTCCAGGTGGAAGAACAAGGACCAGAAAGCTAGAGGGAACGTGCCCATCGACCAAGGAGGAGTGGCACGCACTCCTGCTACCTCCTCCCCAAGGCTCTGCTGCCAACAGGAAGATTTTCTGTGCACTGTGCTGGTTAATTCAGAGTTTAAGGCAGAGAAAACCATCCCAATTAGAAGTGCCTTTAGAGATCTTATTTTAGATGGTTTCTGTCATTAGGATTTAAGCTTGTTTAACATAGCTTTTACTTACAAAGAGAGGTAGTAATCTAGCACATTCTTTTGTGTGTGTGAAAGTAGAATTAACAGATAGGCTAGTATTTATAAGCCAGAATCATTCCCAAATTATTCTTCTCAACAGAGCAATAGTATTTTTTAAATTACTCTTTTTGTTGACTCCTCACCTAAGAGTGCACTTTTATCTCTTGGCAGTGGCCATTTACTTGTTTATTTTTTTCTGCCCAAACTTACATTTTTAAAGATAATTCTTGAATGTGATCTGAAACAATAATTGTGACTGAGACTGTATAGCATCTGAAAATGTCAGATCCCTCACAGATCTTATTATCTATAAAAAAGGAACATGTGCTCAGTCCTTTGTTCCAAACTAACCTACGAACCCCGTCTAAGTATATGCTCTAGAAATATACGTGCCAATTAATGCACCTTGATTCCTACTACCTTTTTATCCTTTGACTCTCAATTTGAAGAGTTGCCTAATTTATAGTCCTGACAAAATAATTTATAAGTTCTATCATCCCCGTACTGTATCTTTCATCTATGTACTAGTTCTTATATCTGTGCATCTTCTTTGGATGGCCTTCTCTTAAAAAAAAAATAAATTAAAAAAAATCCTCCTTAGTGTTTGAGAAGTGGAAACAACAGGGAATAAGAAAGTAAAGTAATTCGAGTTTTAGGGTTGAAGGCTGCTGAAAGCAATGCATTTTTTTCTGAAGCTTTAAATAATAGATGGATTTCATTTAAATTTTTTTAAAGATAATTAACAGTGGGATAAACATAGGAACAAAGGACAGACATGTGGAATCATAGCATTTTAGTACTGTAATTAGTCCTGTTAAGTTTTTGTTACTTGTCTTGTTTCCTTACCTATCTTAAGTTCCTTCAGAGCTTGTTGTTTTTGTGTCTTCTTCAGCCACTTCAGGACTTTGCACATACTAGGTATCCAGTAAGTATTTATTAGACTAAATTTCTATCCTAATGCTTCAGCACAGTTCAAGACCTCAGTGTTGACCAGGCAGCCCCTCACCCTGGAGTGAGAGCCAAGACAATGGTGTAGAGGCAGCTAAATTCTAAGAATTCTAAGGCCTGACAGGTAAGCAATGAGAGGGCCCATTACTATTGCAAGACCTAGCAGGGTAGCTAAAAGGTTCTGAAATCAGACAGCCCTGGAATTGGATCCTGATTCTGCTACTTAATACTTGTCTGGCTTTGGGCAAAATATCTCCTCTGAATAATGCTCAAAAGAATACCAACTACATGAGATTGAGGGAGGACTTAAAGGATCTAGGATGTCCAACTTGGCACATGAATTTTCACAAATGGTAGCACATACTAAACAAAACACTAGGTTTTCCGTAAGGTAGCAATGGTGTCTGTTCAACCATCACAGGCTCCTAGCACAGGGTCTAGCCCTAAACAGGAGGAGGGAAATAGATGTTGGCTAAATGAATGTTGCTTGCACAGAAAACATTTACAGCGCAGGGCCAGGTGGTGGAATGTGCAGGCACTGCTCATTTAGAGTTTCTAGTGGACATTGACCTGCGCGGCTGCCCTGGTCTCCAGGCTCTTCCCACCATTCATTAATTTCGCTTCTATCCTTACTGCTGTTCAGTCCCAGACAGGCCCCTTCGGAGCCTCCTGGGTACACTCAAAACCCGGAAACTGGATAACTTCCTAAGAAGCCCGATGTCATTGAGCTGCGCAACTAGGCGTGCGCAGAGTCGCACACATGCTCACTTAGGTATCCGAGGGTGGCGTTTCTGTTGGGGTTGGCAGCGTTTCCTTCCACGGCAGCGGCAGCGGTCGCTCTCCTCTAAATTGATAGCCAGTGCAGCGTTTTTTCTCCTCCTCCTCCTCTTCCTGCCCCCGCACTGCGCGCTCCCCGGTCCCCGCAACTGCCACAGCTACCGCCTTGGCAGCTGGGCACCTTAGAAGGCTCCCCTGGGATAGCGGGGTAGTGGGGCGCATGCCAGGAAGAAAAAGGCCTTTGGAGGCACCCTTACTTCTACTGTCAAGGGGACGTGAAGGGGAGTGTGGTCACAAGTCGCGAGGATCGCCTGAACCGTCGCTGCAGATCGGAGACGTGGGTTTCTGGCAATATGCAAAGCAAGCGTCCCCTCCCACCGCTCCTGCGAGCTCTACTACTGAATGCCTTACGCAGCCCATGTGTTTAGGGAAAGAGGGGGACCTATACAGAATGAAAAAAACACAGAGGGCTTTGCTTTTCTTTCCCCACCCCACCGAGCACGGCCCCCGTGCTTTCGGCGCTGCCATCTTAGTTTCCTCCAGCGGCTGGGCTGGGCGTGTGTGCGTTTGTGTGTACAGGGAGGGCTGCAGCCGGGGGTGGGGCGTGGGGGCCGCCTGGGCGGCTTGGGTGTCGGAATGGGCTAGACAGCAGTTCACCTACGACACATTCGCCCTCGAAGAATAGCACTGAACTACGGCAAATCCTGCCTGTGCCCATTTTATTACGGGCGTAGTATTTTTTAGTCTTTGTGGTTGGTATGCTCATTTCGCAAAAGAGATCTCTCTGGCCTCTGTCCATGTATAAGACTATGGCTTCATCTTTCACCTTGTGATGACAGATTTAGTCGTTCTTTTCCACTTAACATTACAAACCTGGACCACAGTTTTTTGAACTCTTATCACATTTACATTTTTCCTACTCTCATCTTTAACGATTTTGTTTTTAAAGGAAGCTACCCGTGCTGATGTAGTAAATGACAGGACAGGAACCATAACGTGTATATAAGAGGACAGATTAGTGTTGTTTGTTAGTTTCATTTAAAAGGTTAATATTGTACTAAAGCTACAAGATTACAAACACAGGAAGTATGTATATTATCAGATACATCAAGACTGCTGAAAATGCTGTGGTCAAGTCTGCATTTGTTTCCTGGATTTGTACAACAATGTATTGGGGAATTTAAAAACAAAATTGGTAGCTAGGAACAATTTGGGGGGAAAAAAAAGCTTAGGCTTGAAGAGTGAAGACATCCTTTACTCTTCGGTGACCTTCGCTTTTTAAGGGTAATAAGATGATGCATTCTTAACAAATATATTGCACTGTAAAATAAAGTATATTTCATATAATATATTTAATACTCCAAACTGAAGGGAAAAATTCAACATGGCGATTGAAATTATTTTAAACATAAATTACATATTGTATCCCCTGGCTATCTTAACCTCTTGCTTTAAACAACTATAGTTTTAGGGCCTTGGGATATTCAGTAGTTTGTAAGCATGATGAGTTAATGTTTTTCTTTTTTATTCATAGTAGTTTTAAAAGATGTAAATTATATGTCCAAGTTTTCCCACATCCAAAAATTTAGGTTCCAGGGGTCCTAAGTTATATATTGACATTTTCATCCTTGAAAATTTATTCTAAAATGTGTTAGTATATATTTTTTAAGTATGTGAACTCAATACTATATATCTGAATGCAAATCACATTCTTTCAAAATCTCATTGTTGTGATACATTTAGCCCAGAGGATGTTTTCACAACTGATGTAGAAGGTTATATAAAGTATAATTGTCCTAAAAAGAGAAATTTTAAAACTATAGTATTTCAACCTTGAAAACTTTAGTGTCATTTATAAGTTATTAGATTAATCTTTTTAAAATTTTGTTATTACTTTTAAAAAATTTTTTGGATACATAGAAGGTATATATATTTATAGGATACATGAGATATTTTGATACAGGCATGCAATGTGAAATAAGCACATGATGCAGAATCAGTTGTCCATCCCCTCAAGCATTTATCCTTTGAGTTACAGACAATCCAGTTACATTCTTTCAGTTATTTTAAAATATATGGTTAAGTTATTATTGACTATACTCACCCTATTGTGCTATCAAACAGTAGGTCTTATTCATTCATTCTTTTTTTTTTGTACCCATTAACCATCACCACCTTCCCCTCCCTGAACTCCTCATGACTCTTCCCAGCTTCTGGTAACCATCCTACTCTCTATGTCCATAAGTTCAATTGTGTTTGTTTGTTTGTTTGTTTGTTTTTTGAGACGGAGTCTTGCTCAGTCGCCCAGGCTGGAGTGCAGTGGCGCCATCTCAGCTCACTACAAGCTCCGCCTCCCGGGTTTACGCCATTCTCCTGCCTCAGCCTCCCGAGTAGCTGGGACTACAGGCCCCCGCCACTACTCCTGGCTAATTTTTTTGTATTTTTAGTAGAGACGGGGTTTCACCGTGTTAGCCAGGATGGTTTCCTCGGCCTCCCAAAGTGCTGGGATTACAGGCGTGAGCCACCGCCCCCGGCCTGATTTTTAGATCTCACAAGCGAGTGAGAACATGTGATGTTTGTCTTTCTGTGTCTGGCTTATTTCACTTAACATAATGATCTGGAGTTCAGTCCGTGCTATTGTAAAATGACTGGATCTCATTCTTTTTATGGCTGAATAGTACTCCATTGTGTATGTGTGTACATTTTCTTTATCCATTTATCGGTTGATGGACATTTACATCAATAAGTTTGCTTCCAAATCCTTGCCATTGTAAAAAGTGTTGCAACAAACAGGAGCACGGACGTCTCTTCTATATACTGATTTTCTTTCCTTTGGGTATATACCCAGTACTGGGATTGCTGGGTCATATGGTAGCTCAATTTTTAGTTTTTTTGAGGAAGCTCCAAACTGTTCTTCATAGTGGTTGTACTTATTTACATTCCCACCAACAGTGTTCAAGGGTTCCCTTTTCTGCACATCCTCGCCAGCATTTGTTATTGCCTGTCTTTTGGATAGAAACCTTTTTGTTGTTGTTGTTTGTTTGTTTTTTGAGACAGTCTCACTCTGTCACCCAGGCTGGAGTGCAATGGCGTGATCTCAGCTCACTGCAACCTCTGCCTCCCGGGTTCAAGCGATTCTTGTGCTTCAGCCTGCCAAATAGCTGGGATTACAGGCGTGCACTGCCGCACCCAGCAAATTTTTGTATTTTTAGTAGAGATGGGGTTTCGCCATGTTGGCCAGGCTGGTATCAAACTCCTGACCTCAGGTGATCCACCCCCCTTGGCCTCCCAAAGTGCTGGGATTAGAGGCACGAGCCATTGCGCCTTGCCGTAAGCCATTTTTAACTGGGGTGATATTAGATTGATCTTTATTCTTAAAATTAAATACTAAGAGGATAATTGAAATTCCCATATAGAATAGCAATTGTGTTGTATTAATGTTTCCTTTAAATATATTTAATAGGGTTATTGCCAAATCCAGATAACCAGATATAACTAAATGGTTCTAAAATGACTATATTAGTCATGGTCTTTTTTTTCAAAGATTTTTACCTCTCTCATGCTACATCTCCTCATCAGTAAAGTGAATAATAATAGCACCTACTTCATTAGATTATTTGAGGATTAAATTAAGTAATCTGTATGACTTACTTGCTTAACATACTACCTAGCAGGCCATAGCTATTATTGTCAATATTATGTTAATATCTTAATGATCCCTTATTTGAGGGATGTCGTAATCTTGTGCTAGAAGAAGTAACAAAAGAGTTATACAATTTGAGTTATACAGACTTGGATTTGAAAGTTGGTTTTGTTGTTGTTTTCTTAACAAAGAGTCCTGTCCACAAATAAAGATTTACTGTGTCTTGACATGACAGGAAGAATAGAATCCAAAGACAATACTTGTTTCCCTAAAATACCCATTCTTGTGTAATTTGTTAACTCACAAAACACATTGCCTACCTTCAAAAATTCAATAAGTGTTTTGAATTTTCACTGATGGATACATTTTGACATGTAACAGCCAAAACAGACTATAGTTTCTTCTCAAAAGGCTAGTAGCTATGGTATCTCTCCAGGTTCAAAAAGTATAAATCATCTATAATTTACATTTTCTGTAGGTTAATCTAAATTTAACATCAAAATCTTGACCTTGCCTAGTTTGGCTTTCTATTTTGATGAATATTCCTACATTTATATTTAGAAAGTAAAAAGCCAATTTACCAGTCCTTCATAAAAAATTTTTCTTAAGAATATTTTGCCCCTTTTTGGATATCGTATCAGGTTTGCCTTCAAACTAGACCGGAAGCTATTTTAAAAGTTTTTAGAACAAAAAGATCATAAAAAAATATTTCACAGTCTTCCTAAATTAATATGTGGTGACAGAATTTTCTTGGATAGACAAAATAATCTTACCTATTTGATGCCAAATGTTGTCAACTGAATTAAATACTAATTGTGGTGCAGCAAAGAGCACTGCTTGCAGAGACAAACTGTGACATTCCTGCAGGTACTTCTAAAGTCTGCCTTGGTGTTGGTGGAGTGGTGTGACAGGAATCTGCTTATTTGCTCTTGAGTACATTCCTGTCCATTCTCCTGCTCTGCTCTGTACAGCAGGGGAATGATCCCTGCAAATTCCATTTGCCAGGCTTCCCTTGCCAGCTAGTTTCAAATTAGCTTCAGCCTGGGGGCGAAATGGGTGACTGGCAAGTAGGCAGCAAGAGAATCAATCTCTCTCTCTCTCTCTCTCTCTCTCTCTCTCTCCCCCCCCCCCCCCCCGCCTTCTTTAGGCAACATCTCCTCCGTGGTTCCAGCTCCTGCTGAACAGCTTCTCCTTCCACGGTCCAGATGCAATCAGGTAACCTCTTGTAGATCCAGTTCTCACTGAGCAGCCCCAGCTTGTGGACCCCGGTAGCAGTGTTTTCTCCTTGGTGTCTCCAGCCCTAGGGATTGTAAATATCTCTGTTCCTCGTTTGGCTTTTCTATTCCTTCAGTAGCATTGCAATTAGTTCCCCATATTCAATTCTCTCTCTTAATGACCTGGCATGCATTTATCTGTTTTCCTGATTGGACCCTGAATGATACAGATGGTCTTCCATCCAAATAATAAACCTGATTTGGTTTCTCAGCCAAAGCATGGCATTTTATTATCTTTCATCTGGTCTTGAAAGCTTGCAGATCTGACTTCAAGTAGCAAAACAGAAATCTGCTTTGAAAATATTAGTTGGCTCACCCACACCCATTCTGAATCCCCTTCCTTGCCTGCCTCCACTCTGGATGCTGGAAAAAGTGAAATATTTTCTCTGTGAGTCTGTCCTGCACCTAGAGTTGGCATTGTGACACAATTCAGAACAGCACAATGAGAGAAAATCTGCTGGTACTACTTCTCTCTCTCTCCCTTTCTTTCTACATAAACGATGAACAGAATGGCTGATGTCCATAGCCTTAAGACAAGAGGCATGAGATAAGGCCAAGAGCATTACAAATATTGACCCTGACATCATAGAACCATTGAACAAAGTTTCAAACTTATTTTTATATAAGGTAAAAATCAAATTCCTAATTGTCTCAGCTACTGTTAATGAAATATTCTGTTACTTACAGTCAAAGCATTCTACTTGATATACCAACTCCAGCATCTTCTCAGGATGCATTCCCTGTCTAGAATCTGTCAGTAATCTGTCTGAAAGAAATATATATTTATGGAAAATACTTAAAAGCATAAAAATCCATTCATTCCCCTGGATCCTAAATTTTCTTCCTTTAGTCAAGTCAAAGCATCTGAAAGTTCACTGAATTGTATTTTATATGATGCCTTTGGATTTTATAAGATTACTACAATAGTGTGCCTCCCAGGTACCCCTTCTGGTATGAGACTTATTCCCCAGCTGTTGAGAATATTGACTGTTGGCTGCTCAAGGCTAAACAACTTCCCATAAGTTGCTCTTGGCCTTAGGGAACTGCCTTATGCCAGGTTACAACCCCTCTCCAGGGGGTGCCTGCATCAAATAACTGCTCAAAGTGGTATACAAAGACCAGACACTCTTACCTTAATTCAGAATGATTTTGAAAAGCCATCCCAGCTCCTAGAACCCTTCGTGCGATTAGCTAAGGCCTCTGTTGCGGTTACATTACAGTTCCATTTTTCTCTCTCAACTGATCCTGCTTTTCTCACTCATTCACTAGTAGTTTTGTCAGAAGAACTCTGCAATAAACTTCTTGCATGCAAGTCTACATCTGTTTCCCAGTCTCTTTCCCAGGGAGCCCAACTTAATTCAGTTGTCAGGGGAGTAGTCTGAAGAACCAAACTCTAAAATGGAATTTTGGAGCTGGATTATCCACTGGTTAGGTGGCAATGAGGGCCCTCTGTAATGGACAGTTTCTAAGGTGACTTTGTGATCTCTATATCCTAATATCTCTGTGTTTGTATAAACTTTTCCCCTTGTATGTGGGTAGGACGTGCAAATTCCTCCAAAACAATAGTTATGAGAAAAGTGACAGGATGTACTTGATTATATTTATGTAATTGAGTTGCATACTACTATAACTATCTTGCTGGGACCCTCTCTCCCTTAGTGGCTTTGACGAAGCAAGTTGCCATTTTGTAAGCCATCATACAGAGAGGATCATATGATAAAAGGGTTAATGGTAGCTTCTGGCCTACAGCCAAAGAAGAACTGAGTCCTCAGCCTGGCAGCCTGCAAGGAATTGAATTCTGCCAAATACCATGTGAGTTTGGATGTGGTTCCTTTCCAGTTGAGCCTCGGATGAACTGCAGCCTCAGCTGACATCTTGATTAGAGACTTGCAAAGGACAGTGATAAGTCATGCCCAGACTCCTGATACACAGAAACTAGAAGATAGTGTGTGTCATTTTAAGTTTGTGGTAATATTGTTATGCAGCAATAGAATACTAATGGGCTATCACTGATGATGGATGGATAGAATATGGAGCACTGATAGCCCTGACATGTGGTAAGTGTAACTGTACAATTGCTAAAACTTTCACTGGAGATGGCTAGGATGGGATACCTGTGGATGTCAATGTGCCTGCAGGTGCAGTAACTCAAGCTTTTGAGAGGTTCAAGGAAGGTGTTAGTTATAAAGTTAGTGGAATTAGATTCCCCTTGTTGAGTGCATAGATGTCTGAGGCATGCCAGATACCTCCTACAAGGTAAAGGGTAAATTATTTCATCTTGTTCTTCCTATCTTTTTTCTCTATTTTCTGAAGGCACAATATTTACTTGAGAATATTACTCTGACACATTTCCTGAATGACACAGATGACTGACAGCTTTAAGTGATGCCCAAAGCAGAGAAAAAATTCTGCATCATTTCTAGGCTGTGCAAAAAGCACTTCTGCTCCTTGGGCCAGACAACAAGACAGAACCTATGAAAGTACAGATGTCAGTGACAGGAAAAGATGCTTTGGAATTAATGAGAAGTTTCAGTGGGAAAATCACAAAGACGAGCTTAAGGACTCTGGAGCAAGACCATGTGATCTTTAGCAAAAACATTATACACTATTTGAAAAATGGCTCTTGGCATACTATTTGAGCTCTGAGAGAGACAGAATATCTCCTCTTGAGATGTCAGGTGATCACAAGATACGTCAAGTGGCTAGAACCGCCCACTAGGAGCTGCGTTTTGTCAGACCCACCAACTCATAAGGTCCAGTGGGCCCAATGTCAATGTATGATAAGGTGAAGGTGATATACCCAGAACTGGGCATGGGCAGGCCAAAGCACAAGTAAGCTGCGTGAGGATGAGGCCAGATGCCTATGTTGTCCCCCACTATTGCACAGATGCCTGCCTCTAAGCTCAAATATATGGCTGTTTGTGTGGGGGAGGAAAAAAGTTGAGCTTGGTTCATTCAATGGTTGGCTTGGTGAGTGGGAGCAAGCTGAAAATGGACAGCTGTTGCACCATGATCCTGACAGTGCAGGATCACTAGATAGTGATCAGGCAAAATCCTTTCAGTGGTTCAGTCTTTATGCAGTATACATTCTCATTCATTTTACACATAAAAGAAGTAGTCTGAAGTAATAATATGTAATATTCATGGTAGTGGCAGATGGCTTGGCTCTTTGGTCAAGGGACTGAAAGCAAAAAGATTAGAAGATTGGGGAGAAGAAGATCTGTAAAAGAGGCATGTGAGTGGAGTTGTTGGAGTGAGCACGAAGCATGAATATCTTTGAATCACATGGTGACGCCCATCAGAGAGCATCTCACGTGGAAGAGTCAGTGAACAATCATATAGGACGATTCCACCAGTTGAAGTTACTCTCTGTTTTTGTCCACCCGATGGTGGCACAAAAGGCACATGGATGGAGTAGCTCTGGTGCAGAGATGGAGGCTCTGTAGGGTGGCAAGGATGGAGGTTGTGCATGGAACTTGCAGCAAGGACTCTCACTAAGCAATGCTGATCTAGCCACTGCTACTGCCAAATGCACAAACTGCCAGCAAAAGAGACTAACACTAAGCCCTTAAGACAGCATGATCCCTCAAGCCAACCAGCCAGGCACTGGCTGGATAGTTGATTACATTCCACCTTGGAAGGGTCAGTGATTTAACTTGGCTAAGGTTGGTACCTATTCTGATACGGGTTTGCCTTTTTTGTCCATAGGACATTCATTGGCCAGCACCACTATCTGAAGACTCACATAGATATGGGATCCTGAAAAGCATTGGCTCAGACCAAGAAGCCCACTTACCTTATGGTATCTGATATGTGACAGTAGATACATGTCTATGGTGGGCAGATTAATGCCCCCCTTCCCAAGATGTCCATGTTATAATCCTCAGAACCTGTAAATATGTTCCTTTACGTGGCAAAAGGGTCTTTGCAGATGTGATTAAGTTAAGCATCTTTGGATGGAGAGATTATCCTGGCTTATCCAGGTGGGCCCATGTAATCACAAGAGTTCTGATAAGAGGGAGGCAGGCGGGTGAGAGTGGGAGAAAGCGAGGTGACTCCAGAAGCGGAGTCAGAGAAGAAGATGCCGCGAAGGAGTGGAGGTGCAAGAGAAAGAGAAAGATCTGAAGGTGCTACGCTGCTGGCTTTAAAGATGGAGGAGGGGCCGGGAGCCAAGAAATGCAGGTGGCCTCTAGAAGCTGGAAGAGATCAGGAAACAAAGTCTCCCCTAGAACCTATGAAAGAAATGTAGCCTTGCTTACATCTTGATTTCAGGACTTGTGACCACCAGAAATACAAGATAGTTTGTTTTAATCCAGGAAATGTGTTGCAACGGCAATAGGAAACTGATAAAATGTCCATTGGATCCACTTATCCTATTACCTAAAATGCCACCCAGAACCTGCTGCTGATGGAATAGTGCTGTGGTCTTTTGAAGGTCTCATTGGGGCACAGCTACACATAGTAGACTTTAAGTGAACACCTATTCTGTGATGCTGTGTTTCTGATAGAATATATGAGTTCAGGAGTCCAGAGCAGAGGTGGTAGTAGCTCTACTTTCAGTAACCTCTTAGAGAATTTGTGGTTTCTGTTCTGCTCAGGCTCCTGGTTCCAAAAGGTGTAACACTTCCACCACAGGACATAGTAAGAACCCCATTGGACTTTAAATTATGGTTGGGTCTCTTTCAGTCGCTTCAGGCCCTTCAGTCCAGGAGACCAGCAGACAAAGAAAGGAGTCCTACACTGGCAGCTATAAGTGACCTCTATTAGCAGGAGTAGATAGGGTTGCCATTACATATGGCCACAGGGAAGAATATGTCTAGCACTTAGGTGATCCATGACTGCGTCTCTTGGTACTCCTTACTTAATTTTGACATTAAATGAACAAGTACGGTCACCATGGTCTGAGAAGGGCATGGTGAACAGGGGCTCAGATTTCTGAGATGAGGGTGTGGGTGATTCTGTTCATAGGCCCTCTAGACTAGCAGGGGTTCTAGCTGAAGGAGAAAGCAATCTAGGACGCATGTGGAAGAAAGGCATTATGAGTTTCAGTTATAGCATTGAAACCAGCTATAGCAACAAGGGCTCCAGTTCATACCATGTGTCTTCCTCTTTTAGGTTTCAACAGGAAAAAACAAACAACTACCCACAATCCTGGACATAGGATGAACTCTCTAGAGAAGCAAGCGGGTCTGAGCAATGCTGGGGATGGACTGTAATGGATTTTGCAGTGCATTGCCCAGATTGCTCTCTTGGGAGCGAGTCCCTTATTTCCCAGCTGTCAGAAGCGTTGGCTGCCGACAGCTCACAGCTGAGCCCTTTGCTGAGACTTGTCCTCAGCTGACGACTGCTGCCTGGCTTATGGTCATGTCACCTCCCTGAGGTGCAGTTTGCTTCAAGTGACTTAACATTGCAGTGGTACAAAGACCTAGTCCCCCTAATGCGCAGGCAACTCCAAGGGCCAGGCCAATTCCAGAACTCCCTGTGGGTTTGGCTGATACCCCTGTTTTTAATTTATCCTCAGTTCACTTCTCCCTCTATCTGATTCTGCTTCTCTGACATCTTTACAGGTTGTGTTCCTGAGTATACTTGCTAGTAACCTTCCTGCACACAAGTTTTTGTCTCAGAGCCGGTTTCCTGAGGAACTGAAACCAAGACAGTTATAATGAGTAAAGGATGTAATCTGTCATTTCACCTGCTTAAAATATTGATGACATTATTTATGACATGGTGTCATGACCCGAATTTCTCACCTGAAGATTTTGTTTTAGAATTAAGTACTTAGGAAGACATTACTTTCCTGAAAACCCGTTCTCTCCCTTTATTAATGAAAACTAGGCAATTGATCATTATTCCCTTTATGTTTGGCTACTGAGAGAATAAACTTGATATTTTGTTACAGTCCTTCCCCAAATTCTGAAAAACTGGTTAAAACACCTGCAGCAAATGGAAGTCGATATCACTTTTGTTACAATAATGGTTTAAAGGAAGGATACAGCTTAATGTAAAGCTAAGAAAGCTCTCTCCTCTAAACCTCAAATGCTAGCAATTGTTTCCATCCACTCATTTTAGTACAGGCAGGGCAGTTCTCCCTATGCAACAGGGAGGAAACTGCATAGTCCTCGAAGGCTCCTACCTCCTCCTTGGGTGAAAAGAGGAAGGGGATATAGGCTATTGATACCTGATTTCTCCTTCCTAACTCAACAATAAAATAAGCTGTTGCACTTCACTACTGATATTCTATCATTGTTGTTCTCCCAGTGATACAATGTCGCTGGGCACCATGAACAAAGATACCAGTTAGGCAGTTACTGCTATAGCAACAAGACTCCATTGAGGGCCTCAGTGGAAACAGTTGGTATAGAGAAAAGAGGGCCCTTTGGGAAGTTTCATGCACACGAAAAAAGTGACTGATCTAACATGGGTGGGGAAAATGGAGGTTCCTAATAGGACCCCAGATTCTGGATGGATAATGGCTTCATCGAGATGGGGAGTCCAGGAAAAGGAGGAGATTTGGGGATGGGAGATGAAGAGTGCTGTTTATCTTCTCTAACTTGTTTCCTGGTTTGATAAGAATTTGAGAAAACGTTTTTAGAGAACATGATCACTCCTCCACTTAGACACATTATCCACATACCTCTGCCACTGATTTTGGATCCATCCGGTCTATTCTCCACACTGTTGTGACCTTTTAAAATTGTACCATATGCAATGAAATGTAATTTGGCAATAAAAAAGAATGAAATACTGAGTCATGTTGCAACATGAATAAACCTTGAAAATATGTTGCTAAGGTTGAGGCCAATCTCTCCCATTCACTGCAGACCCTGTTGTAGTAGTCTCTATATCTATTGAAATTGTGTTGAATAAAGTCTTTCTTACCATGGGAAAAAAAAAAAGAATATAATGCTAAGTGAAAGAAGCCAGACACAAGAGGCCACATATTATGTGGGTTCACTTATATGAAACATCCAGAGTCAACAGATCCACTGAAACAGGCTGTGTAGACTGGTGGTTCCAGTGGCTGGGTGGGGAGGGAGTGGAGAGGAGTTTGGGGAGTGAGTGCTTCATGGGTATGAGATTTGTGTGTGCAGGTTGGTGGTGGGGGCAGGGTGGTGATGAAAATGTTCTACAATTACTGTATATGATTGCACAACTGTGACTACACAGAAAGCACTCAATTGTACTTTAAGAGGATGAATCTTTTGGTATGTTCATTATATTTCAATAAATCTTATTTTTAAAATCCACTTAAAATCCTTCCATGATTTTTATTAAGCAGGGTAATTAGAGCTATTTGCCACAACAGCCAAACCTGTGAGCTGCTGAATCTCTTCACCCCCCAGAGGCATTCTGTTCTCTTTACTGAACGGCTTTGTGCCCCTGGAGGCTGGCCCCTGTGCACTCTGCCACCTGGGCTCCTTCCAGGCTGCCTTCTGATTGGGGTTGGCCAATGGGGATCCCCTCTCAGGAGATGGAAGGGCAGGAGAAGAGGCAGCTCAGGGTATTTGTTTCCACCTCGCTTCCTCCTGGTTCACAGCCTCTGACAGGGCCTATGTGCTGCTTCTTTTTTTTTTGGGGGGGGGTGGAGTCTTGCTCTGTCACTCAGGCTGGAGTGCAGTGGCTCAATTTTGGCTCACAGCAACCTCTGCCTCCCAGGTTCAAGCGATTCTCCTGCCTCAGCCTCCTGAGTAGCTGGGATTATAGGCACCCACCACCATGCCCGGCTAATTTTTGTATTTTTAGTAGACACAGTTATTCACTATGTTAGCCAGGCTGGTCTCGAACTCTCAAACTCCTGACCTCAGGTGATCTGCCCACCTCGGCCCCGCAAAGTGCTGGGATCACAGGCATGAGCCACCGCGCCCAGGCTGTGCTTCTGACTAGAGCTTCTCTGGGTAGCTTCTCCTCTTTGACTCCACTGTTAGGGCTCTCATAACTCCACTTCCTCTCTATGCCCCTTCAGATCTAGAGGTCGTAACAGCTTCCCACCTATCATATTTCTGCCCTTACCCTGCCACAATTCTGAAAGGAGTTCTTTCATTAAAATCTGTTTACTCGAACCATCTGGGGGCAATTTGTCTCTTGACAGAATTCTGACTGCTACCCCCCAAATCTCAGTGATAACTCAGTGATAATATACTGGATTAATTCCTGCACATGCCAGTCTCACACAGGTCAGGTAGCCCTCTTTATTCTTAGAGCTCTGCCATCTGGAATACATGGCCTCCAACATGACGCAGAGGAAGAGTGAGTTGGAAGACTGCTTGGGATGCTATCAGGAGCCAGGCCTAGAAGTGGCTTATATCACTTCCACCCTTGTTTTTGGCCAGAACAAGTCACAAGGCCCCAAGCCAACTGCAAGGGAGATAGGGAGAGTGATGTGGCAAACATACGACATTGACTTTGGCTACGAAATTGCCTTCAGGCTTTAATAAACTCCTTAAAAAGGCATAAAAGACACGTTACCCTCTGGCCCCAACCCACCTTGCCATCTTTATACCTGCCACTGCCCCACACTGTGCTTTTGCGTAAGCTGTTTTTCTGCCTGAATTTCCATGTTCCTTCTCCTCCACTTGGATGCTCATGTATTTACTTCAAAATTCATCTCAATAATTAACTCCTCCAGGAAACTTAACCTGACCATCCCTTCCTAAGCTGGTTCTCTGTGCTACCACAGTCCCAGGAAGATGTCTCCATCATAACATTTCCATTTTGTTTTTCTTTTGAGACAGAGTCTCAGTCTGTCACCCAGGCCGGGGTGCGATGGCACAATCATAGCCCACTGCAGCCTCAAACTCCTGAGCTCAAGTAGTGCTCCCACCTTTCGTCTTGGGAGTCGCTGGAACTATAGGCTCACACCATCATGGCCAGCCTATTTTTGTGTCCTTTTTTTGTTTTTGAGATGGGTGTCTCACTTTGTTGACCAGACTGGTCTCAAACTCCTGGCTTTAAATGATTCCCCTGCCTCAGCCTCCCATAGTGCTGGGATTAGAAGCATGAGCTACTGTGCCCGGCCAACATTTACTATTTTGTGTTACGGTTTGACATTTCTTTACCTCACTAATTAAATGTTTCTTGAAGACATGGACTATAATTCATTTCTACCTTTACCACTACCTACCACCATAGTCACTAACTAAATAATTATTTTAGTGAGAGTCAGTACCATTGCCTAGAAAGCACTTTAGAAATGTGTAGAGATGGTTTTGGTTGTCATAATAACCGGGAAACATTACGTACATTTAGGGTAGGTGCCACAGATGATAAACATCCTGCACTAAATGGGACAATCACTCATCATGAAGAACTATCCCCTGTCCAACAAGACTTTCAAGTGTCCCACTGAATTTTCAAATAGATTAAAAGCCTATTTATATCTTTCTGAAACTAGAACTTAATTCCATTTTACATATAAATGATGTTTTGGTTGTCTATTGGTGCATAATAAAACAACCCAACAGATAAGGGTTTAAAACCACAGAAGTTTATGATCTGCTAAGACCCCGTGGGACGACTGGCTCACCTGGGCAGTTCCCCTGTTCCATGTAATATTGATTGGCACTACAGTCAGCGGGGGGCTCAACATAGCTCACTCACATGGCTGCCACTTGAGTTTGGAGCTGTTAGAGCACCTCAGGACTCCATCAAATGGAGGGCTTGGGCTTCTCATAGCATAGTAGCTGAGGTCCAAGAGGTGGCAAGTAGAACAGCCAGTCCTCTTCAGGCTTGGGTTCAGGAGCCCCAAAACAGAACATCAGCTGCTTTCTATTGGTCAAGGCCAGACTCAGGGCTGGTCCAGGCTTAAGGCAAGTACAAGCAAACTTGACTCTTGATGTGACAGGCAGCTTGCCAGTACAGGGAGGAGAGGAAGACTGAGGGCCAACTTCAGACACTAGTTACCTCACTCAGACACTTAGTGATTTTATCCAGCTGTAAGAATTTTCCAGAATATAACAAAGGTATAAACCAAGGGAAATGTGACTTTTGTTTGGCTTGGAATTTCACTGGTTGTGTCTGAGTGATCGATATAACACACCTGTATCCTGTATCAGTTCATCTTTGGAGTTGTCGCATTCATGGTGACTCAACATTTATACTCAAGTATCCAATTACTTCTTCATGTCTTGTAGTGAAATCTTGCCAAAGTATTGTATATATATTTTTAACTTTAGTTTTCTTTTGTATTCTTTATTACTTACATAAACTGTATTTTTAAATTTCCCACCAGGGTAGTAAAGAAGTTATTGCATATTTGTTATAAAGAGGAGGTGTACTGATAGGGTTGAAAAAAAACACTGATTACTAGTCTGGCATTCCTGCTTGGTTGCTATATTTGTCTTCTCCTTGATTTTAATATTCTGCTTTGATTTATATTTTACTATCTCAAAATGTGTGCTTTGGGTCCAAATCAACTCAAATCTCTGAGCAATAGCATAGAGAATGTAAGTAAATGAATAAGTAAATAGTTAGCTTTGTGTTTTTCCTAATTATGACAATCTGTAATTCTTGTAGAATATGTAATATGTATCTTTAAACCTGATTTTTCTCCCACCAAAATAGTTCTTTGTTATTTTCTTGTTTGAACCAGATTAATAAAATCTAGATATGTGTTGTATGAACACTGTTTTGTTTTATTGTGTACCTTAATATAAAAGACTTCTTGATTTATCTACTACATAATCATATTTTTGAGTGAAACAAATTATATATAAGTATTTTAGCTTTCTAACATTGCAATGTGCTTTACCTCATATTAAGATGTTCTCAAGAAAAATACCATTAGACTACCTTTTAGTGAGGCCAACCTATATACAAATATATTTATCGCATAGTTTTCCTTAAAATATTAAGTTGAATAAATACTGTGCTTAGAATATATTTACCATCTGAAACTAAATTATTTAGATACATATCTACTAATAATCTGTTTCTATGACTTCCTACTGCTTTTGTAAGTATAATGTGTTACTCTGCATTCAAGGATTTGCTTTCTAATATTTATACTTTCATATCAAAATACATACATGGATCTTTGGTCATTAAATCATTCGCATTTTTCACAATATAACCTTTTAAAGCAAGTAGGCAAATACAAAAGCCACATAAATGCACTTAACGTTGACTCTGAAAAATGTTACCGTCCTGTACTGGTAGACAGAGGCTACCCTCCTGCTTGGTAGACAGATGTTGACCTTTGGTTCTGGTAGGAAGATATCACATGTCTGGTCTAGTAGACATGCCATTCTCTTGGTCTGACTGGCAAATACTGCCCTCCCGGCTGGGTAGAGATTTGCTGCTCTCTTTGTGTAGTACATAGGTTTTACTTTCCTGCTGGTAGAGCAGTAGAGAGGCAAGGTCTCTAACTAAAATAGTCTCATAAATCATCATTCAGCGTCTACTCAGGATATCGTAAATGATTCTGTGTTAGTCAACACTTGTGTAAGGTATAAATGGCCCCTGAGAAGTATATCATGGAAAGGATGTAGAGGCATAATTACTTAACTACTGTTGCTACAATAGTCTCGGGTAAACAGTATCTATTTTCCTTCTTAACCTATTTCAAGAAGGGCAAGAGAAATCCAGCTTCACATTAAGCTTTATCTACATGCTTTATAAAAACTGAACACGTGTGGAAGCCCCCTGAGTGTTCTACCACAGAGAGAAATTCCCCGCCTAAGCCAGCCAGTCTGTCTACTTCAGTTTTAGTTTGAGGAACTCAGTTGGCCTCAATTCTAATGTGGAAAGAGAAAAGTTAGTGTTACTCTTTTTAAGTGGAAATAGTGACTAATTTAACCCGTAATATTTAAAACACAGGAAACGTAGTTTTGAAGGCTATTATAAATTTTTTGACATACTCATCTCCTTTGACAATCCCCT